ACACTTTATTATTCCGCTGGCTTTCGCTGCCAGGCTTAAATACTAAAGAAGGGGGCGTCTCGCATACACTCGGGCCTCCCCGATCATTCGAGAAATTCATCACGTGTCAACAGAGTCACGTGACTTCCGCTGTCGTAACAATATTAATGAATTTGTATCTGCTTCAGCTTGTGGACCATTCTGCAAATTTCTTACCGATGTTTCTATTTTATTTCAATTTATAAAGGATATGCAAATTCTAACAAACCAGGAGAAAGAAATCCAACATTTTTTGTTTATAATTTATCTTCTTTAAATGAATGATTTGCAGTAAAAACGTAAGTAAAGTTAACGTTTCGTATTTTTTTAAACAAATTGTTAAAGTAACACAAGGTATTAGTGTAAATAGAAATACTCTGCTAAAGCTGAAACGTAGTTAAATGCATTATTTAAAGCATTAGGCTTACGCAATAAGCTTCACTATACACTAAGAGAATTAAAGGTGGGAACACAGCGTAATATAACTTTTTATATCGGGAGGGGGTGAACTCAACTCTGTCAAAAAATAACTAAATGGTGTAATTCTAAAATTACACAATCTGACGTATATAATATGGAAAAATCACGTGTTTTTTTGCGTTTCTGTATACTAAAATGCACAATATATTGTTACCATAGCAATATGTTAAAATCTATGCAAATTCATTTTCAAAAAATGCTGAGGTGGCAAAAAAAATCCAGTTATTGTTACTATTGTTTTTTTATCTGATTTTAAGAAAATTAGTATTTTAGTTTTTAGGTATTCGTACACAAACGCTAACGCATCGCTAACGTTTATAGATGTTTAAATGCAAGTTTAACTAGAAAATTAACCCGACAGAGAACTCAATTTTTATAAATTTAACATGTTACATCTACATATTTCTTGTTAAGGTTTTTTTAGTTTCAGACCCCCCCCCCTCTCCTCATTAGTTCATTTTTGTTGTTGTTTATGCTGTCTTAATGCAAAGCTACACAGTAGGCTATCTACACTCTGTCCACCGCGGGGAATCAAACCTCAGATTTTTAACATTACATGACCCAACGGGAAACCCCGTTAGTTCAGATTAGATCACTAAAACCCAATGTATCGAGTTTTAAAGGTTTACTCGGTTATCGTGAAACAAACATTATATTTATATTCTGTTGTCCACCGCGGGGAATCAAACCTCAGATTTTTAACATTACATG